CTCATTAGGTTCAATGGAGAAAATGTTGTGGGCATTATGACATGAACCCTTTAGATAGGACCCATCAAGCTAGAAGGAAAATAAAAAAGAGCAATAACAACAAAAGAACCCACCCTAATTTGTTGTCTTGAACTATTGTAAGTCATGTGCTATCATCCAAGACAGTTGGAGACAGTCATTGTGAAAAAATTGTGCATTTATGTACTGATTTACTGAAAGAAAGACTCTTGGTTTAGTTTTGCATTTTCTGCTAAAGGGGAAACAAGTTTTACATGAATGGAAAAGAGTTACTGTAACTGTCAACGTAATTTGGGTTAGTGCTTTGTTTAGCACTAGAACCACCTAGGATTCAGTAATTTTTAAGACAATCTAATATCCAGTAATTTTCAGAAAACCTTAGATATCCACAAATGCCTATTTTACTAGAACATTTAATTTCTGAGGGCAAAATATTAGGTTTTCAAAAGCTGCTGAAGCCATAAGTATTTTCTTCAGGATAAGGCTGTACAGCTTAACTACAAAACTCTTCTAACCAATATGAAAACTGCAGCAAGAGCAAGTCTACCAAGTTCAGAATCTGTGCAAGTGCCTTGCAGCTGCTTTGGGTTTCCAGGACAGACATGTTTCAGCAAAGGAGAAGACAGATCACGTTTCAGACTTTTCTGGAATGGTGGAGAGAAGAGAGAGAGACTTCGAAAAGTCATCTATATATGACCATATAATTATGATAGAATATTTGATTTACAAGCTGTCTTTACTTGCCTAAGAAGCGGGTCAAAATTTCCCAAATCAGAGGAACTCCCCCTATGCTTTAGGCAGTGCAGTTTATTGTATCAACTTTGGAACAATTCCAATATTAGCACTGGTAGCAACAAAGTCTAAAGATGAAGGTATTGAATCTACTACAATCTACACAATCTACTAGAATAGAAACACAAAAAAGAGTCTCTCTAAGTTAAGAAGATATATCTAATATAAACATAGGTATTTAAGAATTTTAGGCTCCCTGCAATGCATCTCTAGGCCTATTTCACACACAATTTAAGAAGAAAGACCAGACCACAGTCTGAATGTCCTTGACAGTCTGAGGGAGGATTTCTTGTCGAAACAAATTACTTCCTTATCAAAACCTCAAAATTCCTGATGAATATAACCTAATTGAAGTGTGAAGAGAGAAATATTTTGGCTCACCTGGTTGGAGTAATGGCCATCTGCAGAGCTAAATCTTTCTGAAGAATATTTTGAAGAATGCAAAAATGAAATGCATGCTGCCACTTTTTACTAAATATCGTAAGTTATTCAAGTAAGTTATTTAACCATCTTGATGGCTGACTGAGTAATGTTCATGAAGTAATTTATTCAGCAAATACTGGTTACAGTCACCAAAACAATTATATAAAAGTATATTTTTTGGTATTCAATCCATTCTTACAGATGGCTCATGATTCATAGGATTAATTTGCAGAACACAGATCATCCATGTGTATTCACTGTAGGCTGGCAGTGCTGCTGAGTTAC